GATTTTATATAGAGGAAGTCTTGGTGTTGTGGTTAAAAGCTCAGTTGATAACCAAAAGGGTAACAGTTCAAACCCACCAGCCACTCCTTGGGAGAAGGATGAGACAAGTCTGCTTCTGTAAAGATGGTTGTTAAGTGCCTTCGAAACAGTTCCACATAGCGACCTGTATAGGGTTTCCGAAGAGCGGCTGGTGAATTTGAACCGCCGACTTTGTAGTTTAAACTGACCTTGCAGTCCAGTACACTAACCCACAGCACTCCACAGCCTTGGAAACCCCATGGAACTGTTTTACTCTGTTCTATAGAGTCTCTATTGGAGTCCTGGTGTGGCTCTGTGGGTTAATGCGCCAGACTGCAAAGCCGTTTGAACTGCAAGGTTGGGGGTTCAAGCTCACCAGCGTCTCCTTGGAAACTCTATACAGGGTCGCTATGGGTCAGAACTGACTCGACGGCACTTCATAATAACAAACAACAACATAGGGTCTCTACTAGTTGGAATTGCCTCGACAACAGTGGGTTTGGTTTGGGGTTTCTTTTATGGAGAGAATATTCAATATAAAAAATATTTGTATTGATTTATTTTAAGGCCTTGTCTTAATTATCATGAGAGTGTGGTGGCTCCATACGATAAGCACTGGACTGTGAACCACAAGGTACGGGGTTCGAGCCCACCAGTCACTCCACAGGAGAAAGATTAAGTTTTCTGCTCCTGTGAATATTCAAAGTCTCAGAAATCCTATAAAGGGTCACTGAGTCAGAACTGACTCAAAATACTTAACAACAACAACAATGAACTATTATGACAGTTTATTGTGACATATGCATATTTATTGTATATTACTTTCAGTACCATCAAGGAAGTTCTGTTTCATAATGACCCTGTATAGGTTTTCCAAGACTATAAATCTTTATGGGAACAGAAAGCTTCATTTCTCCCCCCGAGGAGTGTCTGGTGGATTTGAACTTCCAATCTTGTGATGAGCAGTCCAACGCGTATCCTTGAATGCAAGTCAACAGCGAGAACGTCTTCCGTTAGAGCCAGCACCTTGAATTTGGACTTCTCCGAAATTGTGAGAGAATAAATTTCTGTTTGTTAAAGCCACCCCTTTGTGGTTTTTTTGGTGACAGCTTTAGATAACAAAGACATCCAGCCATTCAGAGAATGACACAGGGGAAGATCACACACAGAACTCACGTCTCAGATATTTTATTTCTGGGACCAGATTAGCTGCAGAGAAGGGAGCAACTCTGAGCCTGGAGAAGGAAGCACTGTGGAGACTTGTCATTCCAGAGACTGTGGACAGCATCCAGCTAGAGGGACAAGGTCAGTGCTCGGTCAGAGAAGGGAGTCTCCAGCTCCAGGAGACATTGGGGTGTGTGGAGGAGCTGCAGGAATTAGCATCATCTGGTAATGGGGAAGGGTCTTCAAGGAGTGCTGAGGTCCCTGCAGGAATTGTCAACTCCGACTCATAGCGACCTTTATAGTATTTCAAAGGAGTGGCTGGTGAATTTGAACCACTGACCATATGGTTCAAACCCACCTTGCAGTAGAGCGCTTATCCTACAGCTCCATGCCAGGACTCTTGCAAGAGTGGGACCTAGTAAATGACTGGGTGGGGACATGCAAACGAATGGGAGGAGCCATGCAAATAAGTGGACAAATTATGCAAATGAAGCAGAGGAGCGGGCGGGAAGCGGATTGCTGGATCCTGGGACAGCTCAGGAGTTTGATTGGATGGTTTTATGAATCCACTTGGTGAACCGGCAGAGGTTGGTGTAGACACCTGGTTTGTTGGGTTTGCCACAGGGGAAATCTCCCCAGGACACGAGGCCTTGCAGGGAGCCGTTGCAGACCACAGGCCCCCCGGAGTCACCCTGTAAGGGGGAGGTGGGGGAAGTCAGGCACAGAGAGAGGCAGAGATGTGGAGAGGTGGAAGGAAGGAGATGGAAGATTCCCAGAGGGATGGAGACAAAGAAGTGGAAATTACAGAGATGGAGGGACATGGAGGAAGAGATGGAGGAGGGGACACAGGTACAAAGAGAGACACAGAGAGAAAGAATGTTATTAAGACTTCACCCCAAGTCCAACTTTTAGAAATCTCATTTGCTCTTCTCTCTACCAAACCACTAGGTGCCCTGGTTGTACACTGGGTTAAGCATTGGTCTGCTAAATGACAGGCCAGCCAGCAGTTCAACCCACCAGCTGCCCCGAGGGAATAGGGTGAGGCAGTCTGATTCTATAAAGATTTATAACCTTGAAAACCCTGTTGTTGTTGTTAAGTGCCATCGAATCAGTTCCGACTCATAGCGACCCTGTACAGGGTTTCCGAGGCTGTAAATCTTTATGGGAGCAGAAAGTCTCAGCTTTATCCCACAGAGCAGCTGGTAGTTTCAAACTGCTGAAACCCCTATAGGGCAGTTCTATAGGTCCTATAGGATCACAGTGCATCTGAACCAACTTGATGGCCGTGTGCCTATTATGTATGTTTATGAAAAATATGAATAACTACAGGTGCAGTCCCTGATGGTACCAATGGCTAAGATGTTTAACTGCTAACCAAAGGTTAGAGGTTAAAGTTCACTTAGAGGTGCCTTGGAAGAAAGACCTGGAGATCTACTTATGAAAAACCAGCCACAGTTCTGCTCTGACACACATGAGGTCACCCTGAGTCAGAGTTGACAGAAACTGGAGATAGCTTGGTATCAGTTATAAGGAAGTTTAAGAACTTGGCTTATTTCCCATGAACAGGCGTTGTTTCAAGGAGAAGAATTTGACTACCAGAACATCTACATTTTTACTTTCTGTGGTTGAATTTTTCTGGTTGCTTTTTTGTTTATCATTCCTACAGAGTTCCTCTGTCTTTCTTCTGAGAAGCAGTTTGTGAACTGCTAGGAACCTCGGTTCCTTGTCTGCAAAATGGGGCTAATAATAATGATCAAATGAGTTAATGAATTGATGCTTGTAAACTACCTAAGACAGTATCTGACAATTAACTAGCTGGTTTATTACTGTGTTAAGAAGCACAGATGGCACAGTGGTTAAGAAAAGCAGTTAGCTGCTAACCAAAAGTTCAGCAGTTTGAACCCACCTAGCTCCTCCTCCGAAGAAACAGCCAGTCATCTGTTACCATAAAGAGTGTTAGTATTAAGTGCCTTAGAGTTGTTTCTGACACATAGTGACCCTATAGTGGGTTTCCAAGGCTTTAAATCTTTGTGGGAGCAAAAAGCCCCATCTTTCACCCATGAAGCAGCTGGTGAGCTCGGACCACCAACCTTGTGATTCACAATCCAGTGCTTGTTACAGCCTAGAACTGGAACCTAACAATGACATTGTTATATTATTAGCATTGTAGGTATTCTGACTCATAGCTTTTAATGGCTACGCTCAGAACACACGCAAGTACAATTTGAGGTCTCGAAATACAAGCAAACATAAAGCTCATCTAGTCCGTTCTGGGTAGAACTGTGCTCTATCGAGTTTCCAAGGATTGACTTTTCAGAAGCAGTTCTCCGAGGTGCCTCTGCACGGACTAAAACGTCCAGACTTCCAGCTAGCAGCTGAGCACATTAATCATCTGAACCACCCAGGGGCCCTTCTACAAAAACAAAGTATTAACTAATGTTGACTTGTTTAAAGTGCTGGAATTGGAATCAGATGGGCTTTCTTCTGATAAGATCCACTCCCCACCCCCCACCCCAATACATGTCCTTCTCTTCACATTCTGGTCTTAAGTGGTGTTAAGTGGGGTCAGAGATGAACTTGAGAGAACTGGGAATTGTTAGAATTGCTGGGTCTGTAAAATCTTTGGGGCCTGGAGTGCTGCCTGAACTCAGATTAGGGCTTGTTAGCAACTGTTGAGTCAATTCCAGCCTATAGAACAGAGGAGAACTACCCCATAGAGTTTTTCTTAAGCTGTAATCTTTATAAGAAGGAGCTCTGGTAGCGTAGTGGTTACGAATCGGGCTGCGAACCGGGAGGTCAGCAGTTCGAAACTACCAGCTGCTCCGCGGGAGAAAGATGAGGCAATCTGCTCCCATAAAGATTTACAGCCTCAGAAACCCTATTCAGGGTCGCTATGGGTCGAAACCGACTCAACAGCACTTAACAAACAACAATCTTTATAAGAGTACGTGACCAGGTCTTTCTCTCATGGAGCTGCTGGGTGGATTAGAACAGCCGACCTTAAGGTTAGTGTTGTTGTTGTGTGGTGTCGATTGGATTCTCTCTCATAGTGATTCCATGTGATAGAGTAGAACTGCCACATTGGGTTTTCTTGTTGCTGCTATGTGCCACTGAGCCAGTTCCAACTCATGGTAACCCTGTATAAGATTTCTGAGGCTGTAAATCTTTACATGAACAGAAAGTCTCATCTTTCTGGTGAGTCTGAACTGGTGCCCTTGTGGCTAGCAGTCTAGTGCTTATCCTACAGCCTCACCAGGGCACGAGGGCTCTTAAAACACGAACCCTTTGGGTCTAGGCACCACTGGGATTTGAACCCAGGATCTCCTGGCTGTGTGCCATCAAGTTGTTCTGACTCAAGGGGAGCAGAAAGCCTCATCTTTCTCACAAGGAGCAATGATGGACTCAAACCGTTGACCTTAAGGTTAGCAGCCCAACGTGTACCCCACTACGCTACCAGGGTTCCTTCCTGGTTATAGGCACTTTAACCAGCTAAGTCATCGCATCAAGGTTGTAATAGTATGGAGACAGATCATCAGTTCTTTTTCACATGGAGCTGCTGGCCAGATGGAACCACCAACCTATACGTTAGTGTGATGGTGTGAGGTTGAATCAATTCTGACATATACAGAGTAGAACTGCCCACTTGGGGTTTCTTAGATTTTCATCTTTATGGTAACAGATATCCAGGTCTTTCTTCCATGGAGCGGCTGGTGGGTTTGAACAGCCAACCTTTCAGTTAGCATCTGAGAACTCTGAGTTCTAAGGCCCCCTTTGTCACATAGCCAGGGATCATTAATGTTTATTGACGAACGTTCCTCCTGTAGGCGCCACCAGCACCACCAGGGTATGGAGCGCCATCTTTGACAGCCTGGTTGAGAATCACATCTCCCAGACCCTGCAGGACAGTTAGTCTCTGTGTGTGCCCACATCCTGGCCAAGTGCCCAGGCTCCTCCTTTGATGCTGCTCATTGGTAAATAAGGAACAGAGATGGATGACAAGGTGGGAAGTTGAGATGGGAAAGGCTTGCTGGGTACCACTGAGTCTACTTTCAACTCATGGACCCCATGGATTACAGAGCATCACTGCCTCATAGGGGTTTCCTAAGCAGAAATCTTGATGGTACTAGATCACTAGGTCTTTCTCCCACCGAGTTGCTGGTGGGTTTTGGGTACCAGACTGAATTGAGATGTGCTGGCCATGGAAGAAGGAGGTGCTGTAGGGTAAACACTGGACTTCTAACCTCACAGTTGGCAGTTCAAGTCCACCAGCTGCTCCAGGGGAGAACGATGAAGCTTTCTGCTCCTATAAAGGTGTGCGGTCTCGCAACCCCATACAGTGTTGCTATGAGTTGCAATTAATTAGATGGTAGCAGCAAGTTTAGATTTGGGATTCATGAAAGAAGGAGTCCTCAAAGTTGGCAGTTCGAGCCCACCAGCTGCTCCTTGGGAGAAAGATGAGGTCTGTAAAGATTTACAGTCTTGGAACCCCTATAGAGTAGTTCTACTGTGTCCTAGAGGGTAATTTTGAGTTGAAATCCCCTTGACAGCAATGGGTTTGGGATTGGGTCTATGGAGGAATCCATGTTCATTTGACAGGTGGGTGATGCAAATGGTTAACATGCCCAAAGGTTGGTGGTTCAAGCCCACCTAGAGGTGCCTGGAAAGGAAAACTAGGTAATCTACTATGGAAAAGTCAACGATTGGAAACTTTATGGAGAATGGTTCTACTCTGACATACATAGGGTTGCCATGAGTGGGAACTGACTGAACAGTAAGTGATTTATTTAGTGGTGATTGTTAAGTACCATCGAGTTGATTTTAACTCACAGGATTTCTGAGGAGCAGCTGGTGGGTTTGAACCACCAACCATTTGGTTAGACGTTCAGTGCTTATCCTACAGGGCCACACAAGGGCAAATTCCCACTGTGGCCAACACTACATTTCTATCTAACAGAGCTATGAGCATCAAGTCCATGAGGACAGGGGTTCTAATGGTTATGATCATGACTAGATCCCCAACCAGCAACCCTGGTAGCCCAGTAGGATAAGTGTTGGGCTGTTAACCAAACGGTCAACTCTTGGAACCCACCAGCCAGCCATTCCATGGGAGAAAGATGAATCTGTCAGCTTCTGTAAACATTTACAGCCTCATAAACCATGTGGAGCAATTCCACTCTGTCCTTCAGGGTCACAATGAGTTGGAATTGACTCCACAGCAGTGGGTTTTGGTTTGGATCCCCAACACTTACCACAGTTCCAGGTTATGTAGTCGGCATTTAGTGTGTATCTACTGAGTAAATGGAGAAGTCTTGAGCTCTTACCTGGCAGGAGTCTCTGCCCGCCTCATCTCCAGCACAGAACATGGTGTTATCTATCTGGCCAGGATAAGATTTCTTGCATCTGTCTTGATTCAGTACAGTGATGTCCAAGCACTGTAGCGCCTTGGGAAAATTAACTGTCAAACAGACACACACAAATCAGGACCATAATGAGGAGGAGAAAGGCAAGGAGGGGCGGCAGGTAGACATGGGCAGGCATCCAGAGGACCTGGGTACTCACGCTGGGGACTGCTGGTGGTGCCCCAGCCAGAGACCGTGCAAGTGGTCCCGGCAGATGGACAATGGGAGGAGATGTTGATGGGCTTGATGGTTTCACTTTCGTGGACTTTTCTGTTCATCTTAATGAGCATGAGATCGTTGGAGTGACCAGGGTGAGAGTAGCCAGGGTGGGGGATGGATTTGATCCCCTGGAGCTGCTGCTGCCCAGATTCATAGACAGGTGACAGGGAATATCGACCGAGGAGGATTTTGAAAATACTGAGGAAGATGGTTCATATCACCACCTGCCCCGATCACCACTCCCAAATCCAATGACAACCTAGTCCCAGTCTCTCCAAACTGTTTCTACCCGAGCCCCAATAGCATTCCCAACTCCATCTTTACCCCCCAACCCCATGCTCATCCCATTAACTCTACCTCTAGCCCTAATTCTTTTCCCATTTTAAGCCCTCATCATGTACACCCCAAATCCAGCCATCCCCAACCTCAAATCCAACCATCTCCAACCCTAAGCCTAACCCCATCCTCAAATCTTCATCTGTACCCAATTCCATCTCTCTCCCTACCCCCAATTTTAGAGCAGATCCCAATCTCATTTCTATAACCCAAATTATCAGTATATGTATTCCCAACCCTAAATCCATTCTATCCCATTCCCAACTCTAACCCCTCCCCCATTCCCAAACCATCAACATACGCACCCACAACTTTAATCCAACCATATCCTAACCAAAGGAGTTCTGACTCAGTGCTTGGTTGCTAACCAAAAGGCAGATAGCTCAGTTTCTCCATCCAAGAAAGACCCCTACCTCCCACTGCCTACCACAAGCCTGTCGTCATCAGAACTCTTCAACTCCATCCTTAACCCATCTTCAATGCTTCATTCTTAGCCTATTACCACCGGACCCTGCCCTCCACATCCCCATGGCCCACCCAGACCTCCTCTTGGAGAGTCCACTCACGGCTTCCTGCAGTGGGCAGCCGTGAGTAGCCACTGTGGGGCCACCAGCACTGCCCCGCAGTAGAGATGTTTGGGACTCATAAACAGTGCCGCCTGCCATTTCTGTGCGTGCAGCTTGCAGTCGGACCCATTCATGATGCGGTTGCTGCTGTCTTCATCCCTAGTGTCCTCCTCGGCTCTAGCGTCCAGCTCTCGAGTGTTCTCAGAGCGTCCGAGGGATGAGGAATTGTCGCAGGAAGCATCTTCATTTGCTCGAACTGGTTCTGGGGGCAGAACATGGGTGAGGCGGGACTCACTAGACCAGAGGTGGAGTCAGAGGCGGGGCTTGAACTCAGTGGGTGGGTCTTAGGCTCAAGATGCAGTAGTGGCGGGAGGATGGCGAACCTTCCAAAGTGGGCGTGGTCACTGATTTAGGGGCGGGGTCAGGTCTCAAGGCGGAGCCTGGAGAATCCAGCCTTAGACTCAAAAGTCAGGACCTGAATCCAGGTGTTGAGACTGAACTCTACTGGACTGTAAGGATTCCTGAGAGTAGCTAAAACTCAGAAGCGAGATCTAGTTGCTACAGAGTTGATTTTGATTTATGGCGACCCAATGTGTGTCAGAGTAGAACTGTGCTCCATAGGGTTTGCAAGGGCTGAGTTTTTCTTCCGAAGCACCCTGAGTGGAATCAAACTGCCAAGCTTTTGGTCAGCAGTCACGCACATTAAACCATTTGCATTGGGTTCTGGAGCTCTGAGCAACCTCAGGGGTGGAGTTTGGGGACGGCCCTGAAACCAGAGCTTTAGGAGTGGTGTCAGGGTTTAGGAAATGGGGTTAGGCCTTAGTGAATGGGGTCAGAGCTGGAGGTGGCAGAGTCTGAGATGGGGGAGGGACTTAGAATGGATTTGTGGAGAACCAAGACCAGAGTCACCTGGGAGAGTGGATGTAGAATGAGCCCTAATTTTTAAAGGAGCCCTGGTGGTACAATGGTTAAGCATACAACTGCTAAGTGAAAGGTCAGTGGTTTGAACCCATCAGCAACTCATCAGAACAGACCTGACCATCAACTCCCGTAAAGACTTTTAGCCTAGGAAACCTATGGAGCCGTTCTGCTCTGTCCTCTGGAGTTACCGTAATTAGAAATTGACTACACAGCACACTAACAACTTTTGAAAGGGCGCTGGTGGTACAAGGTTAAGAACTGGGCTGCTAGCCAAAAGGTTGTTGGGGTTTACACACAACCGGTGACACCTTGGGAGAAAGACTTGGCGATCTGCTTCCATAAAGATGAATCCATTGCCATCTAATTGATTCCAGTCGATTCTGACTCATAACGACCTTCTAGGACAAAGTAGAATTACCTGATAGGATTTCCAAGCCTGTCATCTTTACAGAAATAGACTGCTACATCTTTCTGTCAAGGAGCTGATGGTGGGCTTGAACCACCGACCTTTTGGTTAGCAGTCCAGCGTTTAATCACTGCACCATCAGTACTCCTCCATAGAGACTGTTGTTGTTAGGGGCCATCAAGTGGGTACCGACTCATAGCGACCCTATGCACAACATAACGAAACACTGCCCGATCCTAGGCCAACTGGCCAGGCTTGAGCCCATAGAGACTACAGCCTAGACAATCCTATGGGGAAGTTCTACTCTGTCACATGGAGTTGATAGGAGCCAGAAATCAGCTGGTTGGCACACAACCACAAAGATGACTTTGGAAGGGAATATGGGGACTGAGCTGTAGGAACTGATTAGAGAGACTGTGTAAGGAGTAGAGCCTAGCCAAAAGGGGCGAGTCATAAGTGAGGGGCTTGACTGAGGCTACAGAACCCAAGAAGGGGGTCCTAGACTATAGATAAAAACTTGACTTTGGAGTGTGGTTGAGAAGAAGGGGTGGAGTCAGAACTATTGGGCAGAGTCAGGGTCAGGGGGGCAAAACCAGGAAAACAACTCCACTTGGGAGTTCATGTGGAAGGGGACAGCCGGGCTGTTTTTTCTTTCCTTTTGAATTATCAGATACAAAGGTGCCTTCAGAACCCCTTTGTTGTTACTCTCCTGCCTGGCACAGACCCATAGAGAGATACAGAAGCCACTCCGCTCAGCCACCCCAAGTCTGCTCATTGGCTCATAGCTCTGGTACCGTCATTCATTCACACACACACACACACACACACACACACACATACACACATGACCACCATCACAGATAAGCACACAAGATCTCCATGAGGACATTTACACAGGTCAAGGCCAGGGTACACACTAGGGGACTGCTGTAGATACAGAAAGTGTTACATGACTTCACACACCATGGAGTTGATTTCCACTCAGAGAAAACCCGTGTGTGTGCAGAGGAGACCTGCTTCCAAGAGTAGCAGATTGCCAAGCCTTTCTTCTGAAGCACTTCTGAGTGAACTCAAAGTGCCAACCTTCTGGCTAGTCATTGAGCGCTTAACCGTGTGTGGCACCCAGAGACTCTGAAAGTGACTAGGCCCCCATGAGCACATAGCCAGGGTCTCATAGTGACAGATACTTCTGCACACTAGATTAGTGGTGGAACCCCTGGACAGCTGTACCATCACACAAGCAGTAGCGCTGATGAGATCCCATGCAAACACAAAGCCACATACAGCCCTCCATACATAGAGTCTCAGGCAGTTACATAACCACATCTGTTGTTGTATCACCCCGTTGGTTCCGACTCATAGGGATCCCATGTGACAGAGTTTTGTAGGTGGTTTTGTAGTTCTTTATAGGAACTGATAGTAAGGTCTTTTCTCCCTTGATTGGCCCTCACAGCAGCCCCATGTGACAGAGAACTGCCCTGCAGTGTTCCCTAGTCTGGAGTTGATCACCAGGTGATTTATCCTAACAAGTCATGTGTCATCTAACATCCAGCCACAACCATGCCATCACAAACAGCCACTCGGAAACACCTGGCCACATGTTTTCATAGTGACAATCACTTTTGTCACACACAGTCTCTTGATGCCTGTAATGATCCATAAAAGCATGCCACAATAACCGTGGCATCTACAGTGCTATGTAAATCATCCACTCTTAGGGCCAGAAACCCAAACCAAGATGGCGACTGCTGTGGAGTTGATTCAACTCGTGATGAGACCACGTGACTATGGAGCAGATCGCCAGGACTTTCTATCAAAGGCACCTCTGGGTGGGTTTTAGCCACTGACCTTTGGATTAGTAGACAAGCACTGAACTGATGATGCCCACACCCAATCATACAATCATGACCCCAAAGAGGCAGTTGCAGATTTGCTATGGAAAACACCATACATACACACATACATGCATGTAACCTACAAGCAGACACAATCATCAGATCATGTGTCATACACAATCACCAGTGTGGCCAACTTCAGTTATTCTGACACACACCTACACACCCCAACATCCAGCCTCAAGATAGTAGTCAACTGATACCAAAAACAAACCAACAAACCAAAAAACCCAACACAACTCATTGCCGTAGATTCTGACTCAGTAAACCCATGTGTTACAGAGTAGAACTGCCCTATAGGTTTTTCTAGGTTGTAATCTTTACAATTTGTTAAGTGCCATAGAATCGATTCTGATCCATAGCGATTCTGTATAGGGTTTCCAAGGAGTTACTGGTGAGCTTGAACTGCTGACCTTGCGATTCAAACGACTTTGTAGTTTGGCTCATTAACCCACAGCACCACACCAGCTACTCCTTGGAAAACCTATACATGGTCGCTATGAGTTGGAATCGACTCGATGGCACATAACAACAACAACAACAAATCTTTACAGAGGAGTCCTGGTATGGCACTGTAGGATTAACACGGGACTGCAAACTACAAGGTCTGCAGTTCAAACCCACTAGCCACTCCCTGGAAACCCTATACAGGGTTGCTATGAGTGGGAACAGGCTCCATGGCACTTAACAACAACAATCTTTACAGATGAAGATGGCCAGGTCTTTCTTCCGTGGTGCTGATGGGTGGATTTCAACTGACAACCTTTTGGTTATTGTAGGGCAAACCACAAATATCAACAACAAAAGCAAACACCATTGCCTTCTGACCTTATAGGACACACACTACAAGTACCCCCACAGAGTTTCCAAGGCTGTAATTTTTAAGGAAGCAGACTGCCACATTTTTCTCTGAGGAGCAGCTGGTGGGTTTGAACCAAAGCTTTGTGTCTCCAAGGCTTCTTCACATAGTCACTAACAACCCTACTGCACAGTTAACCAGTGACACAAGTGGGAACCCCCAGCTACCTGTGAACCCCAGAATCAGGGCTGTAATGAGGGCGCAGACCATCCACGTCCTGCGGGTCCAACGGGGTCCTGCCATGGTCAGTGCACCTGGTGGGAGAGGATGTCCAGGTGATGGGAGTGGGTAGGTCCCTCAGCCCACTCCCCTTTCCGGTTCTCCTCATTTTCCCCTGAGGACATGACCCCATTATAGAGTTCCAGCACTCTTCAAGAAAGGAGAGAGAGAAGTGGCGTGCCAGAAAGACCAAAGACCAACGGGTACTCCCGAGACCAAAAGCAAACGCCAAGATGCCTCCCCACCGCCCTTCCCTGTGGAACCCCCTAGGTCTCACCTGCCGCTTGTGCTTGTACCCCGGGTAGAGGTGGGGAGCCTGCTCCCAGGTCGGCCCGCACACCTCTCAGACTTGCCTGGTCCTGCTGCCGGCCGCCTCCTGGACTCGGCACCGGGCCTGAGTTATAACCACCCACTGGGTCCCCAGGGCACATTCCCGGGTGGTGAGGCGCCCTGCCCCGCTTCAGCAATCACTCCTCCTGCCTCCCCCCACTCCACCCCCAGATCACCCCCCCACCCAGTGCCCAGAGCCACTCCCTACCTCCTTGGCTCCGGGGAGGGTGGAGAGGGGTCTGCGATGGTCAGACTCCTCTGCTGCCAAGCCGCCTCTGGACTGACCTCTAGGTCTCTCTTCTTGGCCCAAAGATTCAATTTATTTTTCTAATTTCTATTTTCTGCCTGATTCCACCTTTATCTATCCTCCTCCCTACTCCTCTTTCTACTTTTGGCTCTGTTTTTCCAAACCTTTCCAACTCTCTGAATTTATCCCTTTGATCTTTTTGAGTCGCTCAATGCATGGCATTTGCCCAATATCTGTTTTTGGCTGGTTTTTCTCTTCCTCCTGCCACCCTTCCTCTTCCTCATTCCCTCCAATCCTGCCCTCTGGGTCTCTGCTCCCTTCTGATTCCTTGTGTCCCTATTTCTCCGAATCTCTGCCCCCCTCTCTCACTGGGTCCCTGCCCCCCAACTCTGAGTCTCAGTCCTCCTCTCTTTGTCCCTGCTCACTCTGTCTGTGGGCCTCTGTATCCCCCTTTCTCTGGGTCTCTGTCCCCCTCTCTCTGGGTCTCAGTCCCCTTCACTCTTGGTCCTTGCCCCTCTGAGTCTCTGAGTCCTGTCCCCCTCTGTCTGTGGGCCTGTCTCCCTCCCGTTCTCTGAGTCTCTGTACCATTGTCTTTTAGTCTCTGTCCCTCTCTTTCTGGGTCACTGAGTTAGTTATATGTATTTTGACATATATTTGTATATAGGTACACCTGCCAAAACATCACTACAGGGAAGACAATAAACATATCACTTTGGGATGATTCTGTTTATCTTTAAATCTTCTTTACCCTGTATCTCTGAAGTATCTTTCTTCCCGTCTCTGTTTTATATCCTCTTGTGTCCGTTGACACGGATCCTTCTCAATTTCTGTGTGTTTCTGTCTCTCTGTAGCAATCTCTCATTCTGTACCTCTGTCTCGCTGTCTCTTCTCATCTCTCCATCTTTCCCCTTTGTTTATCTTTGTTCCACATTCTCTCTTTCTTGTTCTCTTCCTGTCTGTGTGTCTGTCTCTCCCTCTGTCTTTCACTGTCTCTGCATCTCTATATCTTCCTCTTGTTTCCTTTTTCTCTGCTCCTCTTCCCACCTCTGTCTCTCTGTTCCCCCATCTCTCTCCATGTTTCTCTCCCTCTTGTGTCTTGCTCTCTCTTAATCTCTCTCTTTCCTCTCGCTGCATTTCTGATTCTGAGTATCTGTATCTCTATATCTTTCAGTCTCACTGTCTCTCTCGCCTTGCATTTTGGTCAGATGCCACTCTGCAGAGAAAACCCATAGTACCTTCTCCTGCCCCATCACCCAGGCCACCTTGTGGGAAAGGGCAGGGATCCAGTCCCGCAGGTGCTTCGGCCTGCCTGGTGGAGCCAGGCACCAGGCGTGGGTGCAAGTTGGGCAGGGCCACCTGTGGATGGGGAAAGAGACTCAGAGGCCAGGACGGGGGGGCGCGGGTGGCTCCTGGGAAATGGGGCGTTGGGTGGGGAGGACACAAAGTAGCTTCTCACTACTCAGTCACCAAGGCTGTCTCTCCTGCTCTTTCTGATCTCCACTCCAAGTTTTCCTTCTCTCTCTCTTTCACTCTGAGCCCAACTTTGTCTCTCTGCATGGGACTTTAACTTGTCTGCTCATCCTATCCCCAGATGGTATAAGCCTCAAACTTTCATTCAATCCATATCCACTGTGCACCTGCTGTGTGCCAGGCTCCCACCTAACAATGAACAAAACTGACAAAGATTCCAGAAGATGATGCCCCTTTGTGAGCTCACATCTTGTGAGCAGGAACCTGGACAACATGCTCTCCGCTATAATCTGTCACCTGTAAAAAGGCTGGTTTTAGAGTCCTTGCGGGTGGTTTTAATGCATGCACACACACCCCAAATCCTATTCCAATGTGTTTAGTTCATTTTGATTATTTCATTTAAATGAATTCATTGCATTTGTGACTCATGAAATCATCACCACTATCTATTTCAAAAACAGAAACTCTACTCATTAAGCAATAACCCCCATTCCTCCTTTGACCACCCCCTGCACACACACACACATACACACACACAAGCCCCTGTTAACCTCTGACTCTCTGTCTCCATGACTTTGCTCATTACAGATGGATTGACATGCTGGCTGTGACAATCGGCAGAGCGATTTGTGAAGGTGGCTCAGGGCCAGGTAGTGTTTTGTTCTTTTGTACATTGTATATATGATCACCATGACTTGAGATCATGCAACAACCTAACAACAACAGATGTATCTTTTTAACTTTTGATGGTGAATTGAGTGAAGACTTACAGAGCAGATCATCTGTTCGACATTCAATAAATCATACCCTTGGCTTCATCTCAGTGATTGCAATCCCTTCTCTGTAACATGTTATTCTTCTTTTTCCCTGTAATTCTTATTTCCATTCTACCCTCCTTCCCATCCCTTTTGAATTTTGTCCTTTGGTAACTGCTGCCCTTGTGATCTTGAATGCTTGAACATTCCATGGTACGCATACCTCATTAGTGGACAACAGATACTTCTTATAAAGTAGACTTATAGATGAGGGTCAGCAAAGACAAAGGGAATCTTCAATGAATGGCCACAACAATGAATAAAAACATACCGATGACCATGAACATGACACATGACCAGACAATGTTTTGTTCTGTTGTAGAAAAGTTCCCTATGTGTTGTTGACTCAAGTTCCATCAACAACAACATGAATCATACAGTATTTGTCCTTTTGTGTCCAGCTTCTTTAAGTTAGCATAATGCTTAGAAGGTTCATTTATGTTGTACCATGTAGGAGAACTTAATTTCTCCTTATGGCTGAATATTCATGTACATGTGTGTGGGTTAGTACATAGAACTCACATTTTGTTTATCCATTCATCTGTAAATGGACACTTGGGTTATTTCCATATCTTTTGACTATGTAAAAAATGCTGATTTAGGGAGTTAATATTTCATGAATTAAAGTGTCAAAGCCAGCAATTTACTTCTTCCTTAGGCTTTTTTTATTTTTAAGTTTTTATTGTGAACTGAGTGATAGTTTATATGGGAGAACATCGGTTTTACATCATCGTTTCATTGCAATGATTACAATCTCCTCCGTGCATCATCATTCAACAGTATTTGCTTCCATTCCCTTTGTTTCTTTGTTGTTGTTTTTTGGGGGTTGAGGGAATGTACACAAAACACTCAGAAATATATAATAATTTAAACAACCAAAGGGCACATTCTGCAAGTCTGCCTCCTAGCCGCCAGCTGTCAGTCCCTCTCTTTCCATGAATCTAGAGTCCTCAGCTGTTCCCCCTCTCCATGGCCCCATCTCTGCCTCCATCTCTGGTGTCCCTGCTTCTCTGGTTAAGTTCCTGCACTCGGTTTGTGTTCTTCCCGCTTGATGGTTTTAGAGTCCTCTGTTTTTGGACTGTAAGATTAACTACTTCCCTGTTTTTTTTTAAGCTTTTATTGTGAATTGAGTGATAGTTTACATGGGAGAACATAGATTTTACACTCATATCATATTTCATTTCATTGCAATGATTACAATCCCCTCAGTGCATCATTTAACAGTATTTGCTTTTATTCCCTCTGATAGAGTCTGGGTTTTTTTGTCCATTGTCTTTTTTTTTTTTTTTTTAAGGTTTTTATTGTGGATTGAATGAAAGTTTACAGGGCACATCATCAGTTTCACATTCAAACATTCATATACCTTGTTTCATTACATTGATTATAATCCCCTCCATATACCATCAGTTAACAGTGTTTCTCTCTATCCTCTTTAGCTTTTTTTGGGGGGGGAGGGGGTGGGGGAAACTTTGCCTTTTTGGAATTTACAGTCTCGGCTTTTAGGGAAGGTTTTTACATTTATCTGTGGATATCCAGGGCTCATGTATGGAATTACTAACAAGCATAACTGAATAATCAGATGAGGGACAGTTTGCTATGTCTGCTAGGTGGCTATAGTTTGATCCTCAGAGCCTATGGTTTAGACGGTCTGCAACGTTTGGGCCTACTCCCCTGTTTTTGTTACAAAACTTCTACCTTTACAATTGTGATTGTAGCAATTAGTCATGATAACAATTACTGACTATTGAATCATAAGAAATCTTATCACCAGACCCATCTAGACAAGATGAAAACTATTCAGTGGGGACTCTATCTTCCCTCACACATTCTTAAACTAAACCACCTTTTGAAAATTTGTAAGCCAGTCACTTCATGCCTTTATCGCCCCTCATTTTGTAGCCAATGTTTACATTGCCCATCCCTATCTACCCTGTATACAGAGGGGAAAGGATTGATACTTGATGTGAAGACTCCTTCCCTCTCAGTTGGTATTTTGAGCTACTACATCCATAAGTATAGGTCAAGTTCATCAAATTGTAGCAATTTATACTTATTTCCTTTATCAAAAAAATTTTTTTTATCTTCATCTAGTCGAGTTCTGATTATCATGCCATTAAGGCTACATCAAAGGGGTATTCATTAGGCTTTTAAGCTCAGATTATACAACTTTTTATTCTAGATATGTCTTTAATGGTCACCTTATTATAACTAGGTGCCCTCCAGTCTGCTCCCCATGTATAACAGAATAAAGCACTGCCCAGTCCTGTACCATCCTTTCAATTACTCTTCAGTCCATTGCTGTGGCTACTGTGCCAATTATCTTGTTGGGAGTCTTCCTCTATTTTGCTGACCCTCCACTTTAGCAAGTATGATGTCCTGCAGGGACTAGTCCCTCCTGGTAACATGTCAGAAGTATGAGAGACAAAGTCTTATCATCCTGGCTTCTAAAGATCCTTCTGGCTGTGTTCTTCTGGCAGTCTGTGGCACTTTTAACATTCTTCTCCAACACTATACCTCAAATGCATCAATTCTTCTCTGGTCTTCCTTATTCATTATCCAACTTTCACATGCATATGAGGCAATTAAAAATACCATGACTTGGGTAAGGCTCAACTTAGTCCTGAAGCAGACATCTTTGCTCTTTAATGTTTTAAAGAGGTCTTTTGCAGCAGGTTTACTTAATGCGATATGTCCTTAGATTTTTTGACTGCTGCTTCCATGGTTGTTGATTGTGGATCCAGGCAAAATGAAGTCTTGGGCAACTTCAATATTTTCCTCATTTATCATGATGACATTTGTTGGTTCAAATGTAAAAATTTAGTAGGGTCTTTATAATAACATTTGCTTCTATTTACAAATTAAGTTGATTAATGATTTCAAAAATTTTAAACAGACTTTTTAAAGTCAATGCATTCAGTCTTTTCTGGAAGTCCTTCAATTTTTAAACAATCCTTCCAGGTCATTTATGAAGTTATACAAGGAGTCCCCAATTATGATGGAGTTTCATTCTTACAACTCCATTGTAAGTCTGTTCTGGCATTAGTTGAATGCTTCATTAAAAAAATTTGTTATTTTGGCCTTTTATCCCTTTCATGACCCAATTCTTTTCATGAAAGGGTGCCATGTGTTTTCATGAATGGATATATACTGAATCATGGAGATGACTGAATTTTTGGTAGACAGTATGGTTGGTATGTAAATTAAATAATAGTGGTATTAACTGGTCTTCCTTATAGGCATATGGATATTATCCTACCACAGAACATATTATACTTGAAGATCGACCTTGAAATGTTGTTTTTGATGATGAATGTGACATCATTCCTCTTCAATTTGTCATTTTGGCGTAGTAAATCCTATATAATTGTCTGATTCAAAACAGCCAATATACCAGTCCATTTCAACTCACTAATGTCTATAATTTCGACATTCATGCATTCCATTTCATTTTTTATGACTTCCAATTTTCCTAGATTCATACTTCATACATTCCACTTCTGATTATTAATAGATGTTTCTTTTCATTTGAATTGTGTCCCATCAGCAAATGAAGGGCTTGGAAGCTTTTCTCCATTCGTGTCTTCATGATCAGCCCTACTTTGAAGAGACAGCTCTTCCCTAGCTGTATTTTGAGTAACTTCCAACCTGAGAGGGTCATATTCTGGCACTATATCTGAAAATATTTTGCAGCTATTCAGAAGTTTTCAGTGGCTAACCATTTCGAAGTGATTCTTCTCTTCTTCTTCCTAGTCTGTCTTAGTCTGGAAGCTCAGCTGAAAGCTTCCCACCATGGGTGACCCTATTGGTATTTTAAATTGCTTCCAGCATCACAGAAAAACACAAGCCACCACGGTATGACAAATTGACAGACACAGTATGACAAACTGACAGCTACATGGTGGTTATGTTGACTTCCAGGGGACTTACTGATAAAAAATAATTTGTCAATTGGGAACTTCTGAGCCCATGGACACTGATCTAGCCATGGAGGGCTGGAGTTGAGAGTGAAGTGTCCAGCTGATATGAAGTGAGAGGAAATACACAAGAACACCCAAACTTGCAGATAGTACCCATTTGACCTAGCTCCGATGGCTTGATGATCAGAACTCGACTAGAGCAAGATAAAGAAATCTGGTAAAGGAAGTAAGTGCAAATTGCTACTATTTGATGAACTTGACTTGTACTTATGGATGTAGTAGCTCAAAATACCAACTGAGATGGGAAGCAACTTCACATCCAGGGCCAAGCCTATTCCTTTTGTACACAGGATTGATAGGCACGGGCAACTTAGACATTGGTTACCTTAAAATGGGGGAATGGAGGCTATAAAGGCATGAGATGGCTGACTTTCAAGTTTTCAAGATTAATTTTAGTTTCAGAGTGGCAGGGTAGATAGAATCTCCACTGAATAACTTTTTTATTGTCTAGATGGGACTGGTGAAAGGAGATGGGGATAAGATTCTTATGATTCAGTAGTGAGTAACTGTTATCATGACTAATTGCAATTGTCACAACTGTAAAGATAGAAGTTGTGTAACATAAAGGAGGGAATAGTTAATCTTACATTCAAGGAACAGAGGACCCTAGGACTATTAAGAAAGAAGAGCATGAGTGGAAAGTGGAACCCTAACCAGAGAAGCAACAACACCAGAGATGGAGGCAAGAGGTGATGGCATGGAGAGATAGAGTAGCTGAAGACTATAGACTAATGGAAAGAGAAAGGCTGGTGACCAGGAGCCAGGCTTGCAGAATATGCCCTTTGGTTGTTTAAATGATTTATATATTCCTGAATGTTTTTGTGAACATCAAAACAAAACAAACCCCCCAGAGGGAATAGAAGCAAATACTGTTAACCGATGATGCATGGAGGGGATTATAATCATTGCAATGAAACAAAATACAATACGTTGAGTGCAAAACTGATGTTCTCCCATGTAAACTCTCACTCAATTCACAATAAAAGCTTAAAAACAAAAAAGGTTGTGAGCAGTCATCTAAGGTACAACTATTGGTATGTCCCCATCTAGAGGAAAGAAGAATGATGAAAATCAAAGACACGTGGAAACAATTAGCCTGGTGGACTAACAGATCATGTGAACATCATTTTCGACAACCCTGAGACCAGAAGAATAAACCACATGAATTTCAGTCTCCACAATCCTGACACCAGAAGAACTATATAGTATCCAGGTATCATTACCAACTGCTCTGCAAAGGATAACATTAGAAGCTTTTAGATAGAGTGGGTGAAAAATGTGGAACAAAACTTGTACATACTACTGAGGTGTACATACCATACAATAACCAACGATCTGAGACCAAAAGGGCAGCCGTTACCCAATGACAAAGATCAGAAGAGCTTAAAGGGGAGGAGGAGGAATGGAAACAGGAAACAGAGGGAGGAAGTGGGATGAGTGATATTACATTGAAGGGACTGCAATCAATGAGATGAAGCAAAACATGTACGAACTATTGAATGTAAAACTGATCATCTGCCCCACTGAATAGTTTTCATCTTGTCTAGACGGGTCTGGTGAAAGGAGATGCGGATAAGATTCTTATGATTCCAAAGTGAGTAATTGTTATCATGACTAATTGCGACTGTCACAACTGTAAGGGTAGAAGTTGTGTAACAAAAAGGAGAGAGTAGTTAATCTTACAATCCAGGAACAGAGGACCCTAGGACAATCAAGAGAGAAGAGCCCAAGCAGAATGTGGGACCCTATCCAGAGAAGCAGCAACACCAGAGATGGAGGCAGAGATGAGGACATGGAGAGAGGGAGCAGCAGAAGACTTCAGATTCATGGAAAGAGAAAGGCTGTGTGCTGGTGGCCAGGAGGCAGACTTGCAGAATGTGCCCTTTGGTTGGCTATTTAAATGGTTTTATATTCTTGAGTGTTTTTGTGTACATTCAACAAACAAACAAACAAACAAAACCCAGAGGGAATGGAGGCAACTACTACTGAATGATGATGCATGGGGATGGGGTGGGGCGGGAGGGGGCTTGTAGTCATTGCAGTGGAACAAAGTATGATGGGATGAATGTAAAGCCAGTGTTCGCCCATGTAAACTATCACTCAATTCATAATAAAAACTAAAAAACAAAAACAAAAACACCACCACCAAAAAGCTGATCATCTGCTCTGTAAACCTTCACTCAATTCAAAGATTAAAAAAAAAACACTAGTCAATATTTAACCATTTCAAGAAGTGCTATAAGATGAAGAACCAATGGTATTAAAGGAAGAAGACCAAGCTTCACTGAAGGCATTGGTAAAAAAAAAAAAAAAAAGACTCCAGGAATTGATGAAATACCAATGAAAAGTTTCAACAAACTAGTGTAGTGCTGGAGGAACTCACTTGTCTATGCCAGGAAATTTGGAAGATAGTTACTTGGCCAACCAATTGGAAGATATCCATATTTGTGCACATTCCAACGAAAGGTGATCTAATAGAATGCGGAAATCGTTGAAAAATATCATATATATCATATGCAAGTTTGAAGATAGTTAAAAACTGATTGCAGCAGTACACCAACAAGGAGCTGCCACATGTTCAAGCTGGATGCAGGTAACCACATTTTCTCCTGAGGACTGACTGGTGGGTTTGAGTCATTGACCTTGTTGTTGTCAGCTCAACACTTGCTCCACTACACTGCTGAGGCTCCATGTATCTTCCTCGAGGGAATAAAAATCCAACTAGATTGTAAAGTAGAAATAGGAATTTCTGGATTTCAGAAAGACCAAATCAAAATAAAAGCCTGTTATTGGGTACTCATGACATACCAGACACTGGTCTATGTGTTTCCCATGTTCAAAACCTTGAATCCTTGCAATGATATCCACCAGCTTATAAGGAAAGTACCATCAATATCTTTATTTTACAGATGAGAAAATTGCACAATGAAGGAAGCAATTAAGCAGGTTCTTCTAGGCTTGTAACTACTTCTGGTAGAGAGAAATCAAGACCATGGAATACATAGGGTTGGAGAGATGCTTAAAAGGAGTTTCCCTGCATTCTCTCTGAGGTGGGGATAAGACCTTACCCCATTGGTGCAAGGATGGGGCTGGGGTAAAATCAGGGAGAATTTGTGTTTTCTTGTCACTACCTTTGTTAAGCACCAAGGATTAACTATGGGCAAATGGGAAGGGAAGGCAAGATCTTGGTTTGAAATATTATGGATTTAGCCAGTGGGGTTGGAGGTCAACACTTGAATGTCACACGGCAGCGTCTCCTGGTGTTAATAGTTTTTTGCACCCAATCGAAATATCTGCAAACGTCAGTGTAGACTCCAGGCTTCTCCTTTGATCCACAGGGGATATTGCCCCATGATACAAGGCCTCTGAGACGGCCTCCACATACCAAGGGACCCCCGGAATCACCCTGTGAAGAAAAGGGAGGGAGTCAGATATAAAAACCTTGGACAGTGAGGAGGACCAAGAGACAGGACACACACACACACAGAAATAGATAGCCAGAAATAGAGGGAAAGACACAGGGACACAGACAGACAGGCAGTCAGACAGTGAGACACCCAGTCACATACAGAAAGTTATGGAGAAACGCTGAAGGAAGACACATGGGGAAACAGAGGAACACACCAAGATCCAATGAGGCATGGAGAGGACATAAAAAATAAGCAGAGTAATGGTTAACGGTGGAGGTTGAAAGGTCAGAAGAAAGACAAAGGTACAGAGATAGAGAGGGAGAGAGAGAAAGTGGGAGAAAGAGAAGGAGAGACAAAGAAAGAGGAAGAAAGATAGGGAAAAGAGGGGTGGAGAAAGAGAAAGGGAAAGAAAAAGAAGAGATGGTGAGAAAGAAAGAGGAAGGATGGGAGAAAAAGAAGATGAGAGATAAGAGGGAGAGAACAGGAGAAGGGGAGAGAGAAAAAAAGAAAGAGAGAGAGAGGAAAAGAGAATGACTATATCTAAGGACACTGACAAAATGACCCAAGACCTTGAATTACATAGAGGCAGGACGATTCTGGAAGAGACATACGTGTAAGACACAGGAAAGGAGAGGCAGGACAGACCCACAAAGAGATGTACATTATCTTCACGGGTATCTCTCTACCTCCTATCTTCAGGTCTGTCTCATAGAAGGTGCTTGTGTGTCTGTCGTTTCTCTGCAAGTACTTAAATGCACTGGGTATAGGTTTGGATATACAGAAGAGAAACACAATGGATCATAATGGAAGAAACCCAAGTTAAAGGCATTACAGAGGACAGTGGCACCTTCTCTCTCTCCAGCTAGGGTCTCCCTCTTCCAGAGCCTGGCTGTTTCTAAGCAGGACTTGGGGAAAGGAATCCATGGGTTAGCACTGGCATCTAACCGAACGCTTGGGGTTTTGCGTCCTCCCTGATATAACTCAGAAGAATTGCCTGATAATCTACTTCTGAAAAAGCCACCATAGAAAACTCTATGGATCACAGCTTTACTCAGACACACGTGCGGCCACCATATGTCAGAATCAACTCTGTGGCAACTGGTTGGTTTAAGAAGGGCAATCCCAGCACACCATCCTTCTGCCTCCTTGTTGTGTTTCTCTGATTTTTTGTCTCTCCTCGTCCACCCTTATCTATGAATTTCCTTGTCTTTAATGGCTATGTGTTTATATCTCTGCCTGTCTCTGGTTGCACCCTCACCTATCCCTGCCGTGTCTCTGTGTATTTGATTGAGTCTGTCGGCCTTTTCCTGCCTCTGGTTTCATCCCAGCTTAGATTTGTAAGGCTCTATTTTGGCCTGTGTTTCTCTCCCTCCTGGTGTCTCTGGCTATATTTCCATGTCTCTGTCTTTGACTAACAGGAATTCGTGTGGTGCTGTGGGACAATCACTGGACTGTTAACCATAAGGTTGGTGGTTCAAGCCCACCAGCCACTCTGTGAGAGAACTATGAGACTTCCTGCACTTCCTGCACAAGAATTATAGCCTTGAAAACCCTACACAGTGTCATTATGAGTTGGCACCAACTTGACTACACTTAACAGAAACAACAACAAGTTACCATGGAGTATGTGCCATTGGGAGCATCGTTATCCTATGTGTGCAGAGCAACTGCTCCATAGCATTTTCAAGGCTGTGGTTTTTGGAAGCAGATCACCAGGTTTGTCTTCTAAAGCATCTTTGAATGGGTTCAAGTCACCAACCTATTGGCTAGTAGTCAAGTATTTAATTGTACCACTCAGGAACTCCTTCCTGGATTAAGGTGGACTCTAAATCCAATGGCAAGTGCTGAGAGGAGAGAAGAGGAGGGGAGGGGAGGGGATGTGAGGAGAGGAGAGGAGAGGAGAAGAGAATACACTGACAAATTCAAAGAAGGTTGTGTGAAGATGAAGGCAGAGATTAGAGTGATCCTGCCACAAGCCAAGGACCACTTGTCATCCCCAGAAACTGGAAGAGGTAACGGACTCTCCCCTTGAACTATTAGTGGGAGCATACACTTCCTACAGCTTGATTTCATACTCTGACCTCCATAAATGTTTGCTTTCTTAAATCATCAGGTTTGTGGAAATTTTTACAGGAGTCCTAGGAAATGATTACAACGTGTCTTTGGCAGGTCCCAGTTTCCTCACCTGGCAGGAATCTCTCCCATACTTCTCATCTCCAGCACACACCATGTTTTGGGTTATCTGGCTAGGGTAGGCACGCTCACACTCTCCACGAGGCACCAGGTTGACGTGTGCACATTGGATAGTGTCAGGGAAATTACCTGTAGAGAGAGAAAAACATCACCCTGTGCGCGCTCGTGTTTTTTTCTGAGAGTCCTCCTCAACTCTCCTCCAACTCCTATAAATCCTCCCCTGTTCCCATTGGTGCCTATTTCCCATTGATTTCTTCTTATTATTTATCCTTGATTCTTAGACTCCATTCCCACCATCCCTGTCTCTGGATGTTTCCATCTTTCCATCACTCTTCCCTCCCCTGTAGGCCTGTCTTCATTCAATCTCCCCTTCTCCATAGGTCCTCATTTCTTGTAGGTTTCCCCTTTCTTTTAGGTTTCCACTTTTCTCTCTTCCATTGATCCTACCTTCTTCAACAGTTCCTGTTGATCTATAGGACTCTCTGTCTCCATTAATCCTTCCTGTATTGGACACTTCCTACTCATTACTCTTTCTTTCATTGGCCTTTCTTGCCCATTGGTTTGTCCTGGTTGGTCATCACTTGCTCATTGGTCTTTTCCTAACTGTTCTTTTTCTCCCTCATTGGCTTTCCCTTCCTATTGACCCTTTATTCAGTAATTTAACTCCCTAAATGTGAGTTACGGTGTGGCACGGTAGGATAAGCACTGGACTGCTAACTACAAAGTCAGCAGCTCAAAACTTCAGTCACTCCTTGAAAACTTTATACTGGGTCACTGAGTCAGAACCAACTTTATAGCACTTAACGACAACAACAATTGATCATTTATGAATTAATTGGTCCTTTCTTCTATTGACTGTCCTTCCTATTGGCCCTTCATCTAATGATCCACCTCCTTCACTAGTCCTTTCCTAACTAGTCCCTCTCTCCTCCATTAGCTCCCCTAATCTATTGACCTTTCATCTTATATTCTACTTCCCTTATTGGCCCTACACTCACAAGTGCACCTTTCTCCATGTTTTTTGCTGCTCTAATGGATTTATTTCTTCCTCTAGTCCTCCCTCTAGTGACCTGTCTTGATCACTAATTCTTTTCCCAGTTGATTCCTCCCCCGTTAGCACTCTCTACCCCATTAACTCTCTATGTATGCCTCATCCTGCTGTTGGCCATCCTTGCTTTATTGGTCTCTCTTCCTCTACTAGTCCCTTTTCATCTCTTGTTCATTAATACATCCTGATTGGTCCCTTTTGGGCATTGCGCTCCTTCCCCTCTGACTTTACCTTCCCATTGACCCTTCACTTTGAGGCCCATTTCAACCATATCATTCACCCACTGGCCTTCCTCCCAAATTGGTCCTCTCTCTTCATTGACCCTTCATCCATTGATACGCTGCCCCACTGATCCTTACCATGAACCTACCTCTTCTCTTTACCATTGGTCCACCTCCCCTGTGGCCCATTACCATTGGTCCACTTTTCCCATAGTCTTTTACTGTTGGTCCACCTCCTCCATGGCCCCTAACCTATAGATCCATCTCTTTCATGGCCACAATCTTTGGTTCATTTCCCTACAGCCCATTATCTATTGGTCCACCTCCCTCATGATCCTTCATCATCCAGTCATCTTCCCCTTGGCCCCTTGCCCACTGGTCTGCCCCCTCATAGCCCTACACCCATTACTGACCATCTGCTGTCTTGCCCCAGCCCAGGATTTGGCAGCTGGTTTGGCTGAAGGAGCAGTCTTTCTCCATGGTCAGTGGACTGATGAGGTTAGAGAGTTTCGCTGGTCGTGCTAAGCGCAACAGCATGATGTCCTGGTCATGAGTGGCTGCAGTGTAGCCAGGGTGGGTCACAGTCTGTACAACAGGGATAGATTCCTGGGAGCTCTCGGTTTTCTGAAGGTTGTGCTTTCCCAGATAGACCTGAAGATTCCTGGAAAGGAGGAGGGCTGGGTCTCACTTGGAGCTCTTGGGGTATAGTTGAAGCTCCAGAGTGTCTCAGCTGGTTATACTGTTAGCCATGTGATCTGCTCCTCCCACAATCTTCCTTAGCACAGTAAATGACAACTCCATCTTTCTAGAGTTAAACTTGGTGGCTATTCTTTTTATGATTAAAAATATATATGTTGATGAAAATATGCATAACAAAACATAAGCCACCGTAGCCAATTTTACTTGTACAGTTCGGTAACATTGATTATACTCTTCAAGGTGTACAGCCATTCTTGATATGTTTTCCTAAATCATTCCACCACCAATTGCATAAACTCAATGTCCCCTAAGCAACCCACCATACTCTTTCCCCTTTCCACCCACTCTTGGCAACCACAAACAATCTTTGATTGCTACACATTTGCCCTTTTCATATAAATGAGACCATACAATATTTGTCCTGAGGGCTATTATCGACTCATCTATTTTATGCTTCACATCCCAGCTGTCTAAAAATCCTTTTGGCGCAACCCCCCCTCCAAGACTAAGACTCAATGGAAATGCACGCTCTGATTGGTAAAATCAGCAATGAAGCGGCAAGCTAAGCCCTAAAATGTTCAGTGGACTTCTGTGGACCCAGTTAGGGACCTGGAGGGCAAGCAGTGTGAGGAGACCTGGGGACTCTTGGGCCCAGAGTCAGTGGCGTGGCCACGGAAGACTCGAGAGGAGAGTGGAGCTACCAGCTGATGGGAAGAGAGTACATATGCACAGGAGCACCCACATTTGCAGATGATACCCACGGTGACCTGGACCAGATGACTGGATGAACTTGACTTATACCTATGGAGCAGCAACTCAAAAGAAGGAACAAATTCTTATAGCAAGAAGCATTTACACCCCTTCCACACACAGAGTGGACTGAGATGGGCAACTTGGACATTGGATACTCAAATGGGGAGCGGGGGACTACAAAGGCAAGAAGTGACTGGCTTACAAGCTTTCAAGGGGGAACCTAGTGCTAGGGAGCATGGAGGAAGGCAGAATCTCCAGTGGGTACTATTCAATCTGTCTGGGCAGAGCTGATGAAAGGAAATACAGATGGTTAACTCGTGATACTGTAGTGAAGAATGCTTATCAGGATGGATTATGAGGGTTGGAAATGCAAAGGTAGATGTTTTGGAACAAGGAAGGGAGTGATTAATCCTACAGGCTAGGATTGGAGCTATCTGGGACCATCAA